AACATTAAATTATTGCAATTGTTTATAAGCGTGAAAATTGCGAAAATGTTTAAACAATCACCACGGCTCTCCTAATCGTCCGATTTGAATTTTTCAAAAAGCATTTTAAAGCTTGAGAGCTCTTCTTATTGTGGTGAAATTTTCAAGTATTCAAAGGTTTTAGATTTTTAGAAATTTGATTTTGAAAATTTTTTAATTTAAAAAAATTAAAAAAATTAAACAATTTGGTGTGATGATTCTATGCACTAAGATGTTTAATTGGGAAAAGTATAAGATCCTAGGTATTATTCAAATGTCTGAAAAAAATTAACAAATAAACTAGCATTTTTTACAATTTTTTAAATGATTTTTCCGATATTTGCAACAACAATAATTATTTTTTCGAATTGCAACTAACTAAAATTTAATTACAAAACTTTTTTTCCTCTTCCATTTTTGTCTAAAATGAATAGTTGCTAAAATTATCATTTCTGATGTTATTTAGAAGCCGTTAAAGCAAAAGTCTCCGATCATATGCGTTTTACCCAAGTACACCCTTTGTAAGACAGATACCGCCTGGACTACTTTCTTTATACATTAAGTGAGCATGTACAACAGCTGACGTCACAAAGAGTAATCGTTGTTTTTATAATGATAGGAAATATTTAAATTATATATCATTAGAATTTAGAATTTAAGATTGCTGTTTAAATGTCCTTCTGAAAGAACAACTTGGATCGTCTGGCAAAAGTCATTTAGGTACGTATAATGTACCCAGGGTACACAAGTCCACAACCATATTATGCAGACCATATTATTTTTACATATTGTCGGCCACTAGAATCTGACCTCTGTTTTGACCCTACACGGCCTCAATAGTGGATTCCAGAGTATCACAGCTTTTCAAAGCCAACCCACTCGACTACAAAGATTAAAACTAGATATTTCATATAAACTCTATAACCTTAACCTCAACCCCATAGTCCTACAGAACACCATAAACCTGAGAATCCGAGTGACAATTCGAGGAAACTCGCATTTAATGACGATCTTGATATGTTCTAAAACGTTAGAATAGGAAACAACTAACCCTATTACCCTTCAACTCTTTATCAAAAACCGAGATAACTTCAGAAGCGCAATAATCCCATAACCCTGTTGAACTGAGAATGGAGTGAATAGGACGAAGGAACTCAAATGATCACGAAATTTATGGGTGATTTACATTGGAACCAAGACCTAAATAATCTTATAATTACCTATATTTTAGAATTATTTTAACTATGGGGTTATGGTGATTTGGTAAGGATTACGAAATTATAGTCAGTTGGGTTTTGGTTCCAAGATAAATCACCCATAAATTTCGTGATCATTTGAGTTCCTTTGTCCTATTCACTCCATTCTCAGTTCAACGGGGTTATGGGATTATTGCGCTTCTGAAGTTATCTCGGTTTTTGATAAAGAGTTGAAGGGTAATAGGGTTAGTTGTTTCCTATTCTAACGTTTTAGAACATATCAAGATCGTCATTAAATGCGAGTTTCCTCGAATTGTCACTCGGATACCGCCTGGACTACTTTCTTGATACATTAAGTGAGCATGTACAACAGCTGACGTCACAAAGAGTAATCGTTGTTTTTATAATGATAGGAAATATTTAAATTATATATTATTAGAATTTAGAATTTAAGATTGCTGTTTAAATGTCCTTCTGAAAGAACAACTTGGATCGTCTGGCAAAAGTCATTTAGGTACGTATAATGTACCCAGGGTACACAAGTCCACAACCATATTATGCAGACCATATTATTTTTACATATTGTCGGCCACTAGAATCTGACCTCTGTTTTGACCCTACACGGCCTCAATAGTGAATTCCAAAGTATCACAGCTTTTCAAAGCCAACCCACTCGACTACAAAGATTAAAACTAGATATTTCATATAAACTCTATAACCTTAACCTCAACCCCATAGTCCTACAGAACACCATAAACCTGAGAATCCGAGTGACAATTCGAGGAAACTCGCATTTAATGACGATCTTGATATGTTCTAAAACGTTAGAATAGGAAACAACTAACCCTATTACCCTTCAACTCTTTATCAAAAACCGAGATAACTTCAGAAGCGCAATAATCCCATAACCCTGTTGAACTGAGAATGGAGTGAATAGGACAAAGGAACTCAAATGATCACGAAATTTATGGGTGATTTACATTGGAACCAAGACCTAAATAATCTTATAATTACCTATATTTTAGAATTATTTTAACTATGGGGTTATGGTGATTTGGTAAGGATTACGAAATTATAGTCAGTTGGGTTTTAGTTCCAAGATAAATCACCCATAAATTTCGTGATCATTTGTATTCGTTCTGTGCATTCCCAACCTCATAGGGTTATGGGGCTATAGTGATTTCTGATGATGGGTTATGGGGTTATAGGGTTACTTTCACAGTCTCATAGGATTATGGAGTTATGAAGTTATTAGGCTCATGCATTATGGTGGTGATAAAGATGTGAAAGGTAATAAAGTTATTGAGTATCCATTCCAAAGTTTTGGAGCCCATCAAGATTAGAGATCGACATTACGAGCCTTCTCGTAGCGTCACTCCGATTATCAGGTTCAGCACCATAGAGTTATGTAGTTATTGGGTTACAAATGTTATGGGGGTTGAGGTTAGAAGGCATGAAGGTCATAAGGATAGTATGAAAAACCTGTAAAATACCAAGTTTTGCTGATTGTAGCCTAGTGATTTGACGCTGAAAGGATGTGCAGTTCTGGAATCTATTATTGAAAGACTTTTCAGGTGTATTAATTAACGATTTACAAAAAAATTCTGACGTATAGAAATCAGATTCAAATTTAGTGACCAAAAATATCTAAGAATAAAGAGGTATGCTTTACAGCGCAGACAACTTTTTTGTAAGCATGTGTATATAATATATTAATCTTTTTCTGTAATCAAGGAATAACTTATAACTTTTACATACTTGAATGGAATGATAATTCTTAGATACAATCGATGGATATTTCTCCATAGTATAGACAAGAGCGACGCCAAGTCTACCCTTAAAATATAATTTTTTGTATTTAATTTTACCTAAAATGCAGCGTTTGAACTAAGTAAACTGAGTTATAAATATTTTTAATTTCACTAATCTATTAATCGTTCCGTGACCTAGTGCAAATTACACTTTGTTTTAATCCTATTTACCTTTGTTATATTATTATTATAAACTTTAAATTTATCGGTAGTTTAATATTACATTTTTTTGGTTTTCAATTGATTTACCAAATATATCCATGAAAATAATTTTTGTTCAATTTTCAATGAAATATTTAATGGTTAAAGTATTACATACCTTAAACAAATATTTGATATAAATTTATTACAAATAAACATTTTTCATTGATACTCTTTCACCGAAATGAATTTTAGCATATAAAAACACTCAATGATTTAAACGCAAATGATAAAACTGGAACAGAGGGTCTTTAATTAGAGATAAATAAATGTTACAGTGTAATATACAACAACGACAAAATATAAACATTATTAGTAATTTCACTTATACTCTATTAAAACCATATTTCATCTGTTTTTTGTTAAGTTCCAAACATGTACAATGCAACTTTGTTAGGTACATTCGACAACCTGTTTTGTACCACTCGAGATATCCAGAGTATTGATTGCAATTATCTTAGTGAGCATTTAGATATACCTAAGAAACATCTTAACTTGTACTTAATTGGATTATCAACGTGTTTCTTACTTGTTGATCGAGACGCAAAATGAATAATAATGTCTGAAACCGTCCATGGACAATAGGGTTCCCGTGAGGTTTTATTTATAAGGTCGTTTGCGGTATCTGAAACGGAATTTTTTAATATCTAGGAGTACGGTTTAGACATCAAAATCGCGATATGAGTCCCTGGCTTCATCACTGAAGAAAATAATGTAATAAAAAAGGATATTCTGATTTGTATAAAAAAAAGTTAATAATATGCGTTTGAAAACGTAGAATTTTACATAGAATTATTAAATTACACTTCAACTAAAAGTTAAAAGATGCAAGCAAATTAAAATTTTCTGTGTCGTATTTTTAGTGTTTGTTGATGCAAAAGTACCTAATTTAAGATTAATGGAAAAGATAAATAAAAAATTGAAACTTTTTCACTTTCTAAAAGCCATGTGCTACATTACTGATATAAATTACAAAATTTTCATGCACCTGATTTTCTAGTTCTCTGTCAATTTAATGTATGCTTTAAGTAATTTTTGTGTGATTAGAGGTTTTCTTTTTCTTTTTTAGTGTTGGGGCAGCAATAACATAGGATCTCAGTTAGTACCATGTACTTACCACATTGTACCAGCTGGGAAACCAGATCCTCCTCATTCATGTATGACAGTCAATATAACCCACCACTCGGTCTTGGTGACTTGCAAGAAGGGCTTCGATGGAGGTAAGAAACATTCCAGTGTATTTAAAAATGAGATTGGGGGTTAATGATTTGATGTTGATATTTTCAATGGAAGATTTATACATACTTTGATATCGGTTGAAAAAGATAAAAACATGACAATATCAACGGATAAGTTTAATACTTATTGTTTAGGCTATATCGATTCTAACGATACATACGGATTTAATATTTCTATGGTTCGCAAATAAACCGTATACTCGGTAAATATTTTTATTATACCAACTGCAAATATTTTTTTAAATAATCTATACGCAAATTATAAACTTGTGTTATAAAAGAATAAATTTAAATTAAATCAATGGGTGCGGTTTTCGAAACAAGTTCTTGACGACTTTAATTATAGATAGATCGGTATCAAAGATTTTGACCAAAGAAAAATCATATGTTCTCAGTTCGTAGTTCTCACAATTGTTTAACTATAAGTCTCATTCAATTCTCGGAGATAACTTATCTTACACATAGTTTTACAGCTCACAGTGTTGGTCTTATGTATTAATATCTCAATAATAGACAACAATATGGCACCATGATAATGTAGAACTATTATAGACAATGTGGGAGTACTATAAGACTCAATTCTTGGCCCGATTCTCTTCTAAACTTGCTTTAATGGTTCACCTTATTCAATAAGTGACTTAATTTTTAACTATTTAATTCATCGACGATATGTTCACTTACCATAGCCCTATTGGTGATTTGACAGAAACCTAATAAAAGCCAAAAAGATTACGAGTTCCAATTTAGTGATATTTTAGTGGTATATTCATATACCCTAAATTATCATGGGATTGCCATATTAATAATATGAAAAGTATCCAAAAATGTATACCTTTTTGTACTTTGAACCATCAAGTGTCATCACATACTTTGGAAACGGCATATATTATACAATATATCATCCCATGGTATTTTAATTTAGGGTGAATCCACTTCAATTGCACATTTATTTGCTCCAAAAGAAAGCCTATAAGAATAATATAGAATAGAATTACATAGAAACAGCGGCAGACAAAGGTTTCTAAAATTATTAATATTAACACAATATTTTGTATATACATATCCTAAAATGTCTACTAAACTTAAAAACCTATTACTATGAAAAGAAGAAGTATACTATGAGAAACAAACTCCAAAAAAATATAGATACTTTATAAAAAACTTGCAAATGCCAGTAATGGGAGTTGTTACCGTGGTATTAAATTTTATAATATAACGAGCGTTCAAATAAAAACGTGGTCGAAGTTGGCTCTGACACATTGGACGTAGAGAGTAGCTTATACCGACCAACTTAACCTCATTTCTCAACGAGCTGTATAGCAGCTGTCAGTTTCAATAACGTTAATGACTATATAACTTTATTTTAAAGAATATTCGTGATAACAATAACAAACAATTAAAGGAGCTGCGGAAAGTGTCCCCCTCCTTGTTATAACAATAAATTAAAGCAGCTGCTGAAAGTGTCCCCCTCCTTGTTCCAAGCACTTTTCACACCTGTTCCTCAAAGAATTAAAGACATTTTCTAAGATGCTCGGGGTATTGTTAATTTCACGAATCTTGTCTATAAGTCGAGCCTGCAGATGGTTTAAATCAGGAATAGGCAGTTCAAAAATAGTGTTTTTAAGGTAAGGCCACAAAAAGAAATCACACGGCGTAATATCACATGACCTCGGTGGAAATTCATGTTCAGCATTGAGACTTATTAGTCGATTTTGGAAAACTTCCCTCAACATATTCATCGTCTCGCCTGCCGTATGTGCCCTTGCGCCATCTTGTTGAAAGTAAAAGTTTGTAATTTCGTTTTCTTCCAGCTGGTTAACAAAAGGAGCGATAATTTCTTCTCTATACCTTTGCGCAGTAAGAGTACCATTAAAAAAAATAGGTCCATAAATCCTCCTTCGATTGAGAGCACACCAAACTCCAATTTTTTGAGCGTGTAGAGGGCCCTCGACAAAAAAGTTATCTGGTTTTTCAGAAGACCACATTCTCATATTCTGTGAGTTTACGTAACCACTTAAATGAAACCAGGCTTCATCAGAAAAAAAGGTGATATTATGAAGTTCACCGTAGTTGTTTAAAAACCATTCACAAAATACAGCCCGTCGCGGAAAATCAACTTCATGAAGTTCTTGCTGACAAGTTAAACGATAGGAGAACAAACGCAAATCTTTTTTTAACACTGTGTGGCAGGTACCGACTGATACTCCCACCATTTGTGATAAAACACGTACAGAAGTTCTTGGCGCATTTTCCATTATTTGTTGGACATTTTCTTTTAATTCTTCAGTCCGCTTTTTAGGTCGGCCGCTTCCTTCTTTTCTTGTTACACTGCCCGTTTCACGAAAAACATTAACACAACGCTGAACTGCACTTTGAAAAATTTTGTACTCAACAACGCCGGGAAATTGATTTTGAAATTCTATGAAACATTCCTCAATAGAATACTTCCATATTCCATCAATCTTGCGTCCATTTCTAAAGTAGGACTCTATGATAAACACTTTTTGTTCTTGAGAAAACACCATTTTAAACGCTTTTTAAAACGAAAATATTCAAATTGATAGCGGCGATATAGCGCTTTGACAGATGACGTTTAAGTTCATTTGCTATACGCTACGCCTTACGTCCAAATTTTCAGAACCAACTTGACCACGTTTTTATTTGAACGCTCGTTATATTTTTTTGTTATTTTATATACCTAGGGTGTCCCAAAATTCAAACAAGAAGAAATTATGATAGAGAACACAGGTTTTTAATTAAAAATTTGCAAATTTTTTATTGATTCATAAAGTATACAGTATAGGGTTATGTATGGAATAACATATCAGGTAATAGCCTCCACGGCTATGATGGTACATACGCACTCTTTTGTCGAAATTTTCCATTACCGTTTTGCTTAAATAATCAAGGCGTGGGTGGTCGTGGGCTTATTGGCATAAATCTGAGATTTCAAAAAACACAAAAGAAAATAGTCCAACTGCATTAAACCGCATAATCTGGGCAGCCAATTTTGATCATCAAAACGAAAAATTACACGACCAGGAATTGACTCGTGCAGTAATTGAATTGCCTCTCGGGCTGTAATGGGCTGCATGTGGCACCGTCTTGTTGAAACCACATGTCGTCTACATCCATATTTTGCAATTTAGGCACAAAAAAACTGGATTATCATGTTGCCATTAACTGTTAATGCATAACCAACCGCATTTTCGAAGAAGAATTGTCTGATAATCGCTGAAGATAATTTTGTTCGAAATATCAGCAACCACTTGTTGTTCCATAATCCATTCAACGAACTCTCTTCGCTCTGCGTGGTCAGTAGGCTTCAGTTCTTGAGTCAATTGAACTTTGTAAGCATGAAGATGCAAATCATTCGAGAAAACACGTTGTTGAGTGCTTCGCGAAATATCCGATTCTTAACCGCGATGCCAAATTGATGTCCTTGGACTCTCAGCATTTTTATATTGCATGACTTGTTGAAGGACGGCCAGATTGTTTAAGATCGCTAATTGATCCAGCCTCCCTGAATTTTTCAATGAATCTATTCACAGTTGACTATATTTTGCACGAAAATTACAAACTGTAACTGCCAAACCTTTTAAAATATTGCGTAACAATGAAAATGCGTTCTTAATTCGTGTAGTACTCCATTTTTAATAACTCTAAACTGTTAGCTGTCACGCTGTCTTTTATTTTGGTTGGCAACACTTCACCTCACAAATGGAGCAAAATTCAAATCTTGCATGAATTTTGAGATACCCAGTATGATATTGCTAGATTTATAATAATTCTTAATATTTTATTCTTATTTTATCTCGCACTAATTTCTTACTTGCACAGGTTAATATTTTGAATATTTTGATATCAATGGAAATATAAAGAACACATCTGTATGTAAAGAAATAAAAAATATGTTTTAATAAAGTGAATTAAATAACACATTGTGCCCCCTTTTATGTTTTTATGTGAATGGTGGGTTACTTCCTTTATAATATACTTTGGGAGAGGATTGTTTTACTCCAACAATAAAAATTTAATAGACTTGTTCATCGTAAATTTAAGCGGAATACAGTATTTAATTTGACTTTTAATTAGGCCACAACGTTCCCTGAATAACAAAGTTAAAATTAATTTATTCTTTATATTTCACCCCTATCCTACTGAAATATTACTGAGTCGCCAAGAAGTCGTCTCTACGCAAACAACTCCTCTGCCCTGCGGATTTTCAGAAATTTTGTGAATTTTAAATTAACTCGACGATTTTGATCCTTATTGACACTTTGGAACTTTTTTAAAACACATAAACTGTTTCAATTATCCAGAAACAACCTTTAAACAATTTAACTTTCAGCAGTAGAAAATAGTTCAAATTGTATACTTTATTTATGACCGATATTAATCAATGAAGACGTTAGAATATGAATAAATTTTCTGATAGCATTTATTTATACAATTTATTGAATTTTCAACGAGAAGAGGTACTAATAATATATAGTGTATTTCTCAAATAAGTGCGTTCTTTAAAAAGGATAATAAGCAACTTTTATTAAGCAACGGATGGTCCAAATTCTTCGTTTTCGAGAAAATGAATTAAGACAATTAACCATAAATATCAGCTGACCCTGTGCATCTTGTGCACGTGCGTTGTATGTTGCAGTATTACTTAGCGGGCGTATATAACAGTACCGTGTGGGAACAATTATTACACTCCTATCATGTACAAAGGGTTCAGGCATTAAATAACAATGATTTTCAACCCCGTGTGGAATTTTCCCAATGGTATCGACATAAGATCCGGATTTTATAAGCGCGGTGCTTTTTTCGGATGAATGTTGTTTTACTAAAGACGGCATCCTAAATTTTCACAACGTTCACTATTGGTGTGATGCAACTCCTCACGTTGTACAGAGATCTCGGCTCCAGCAACGGTTTCCAGTAAATGTGTGGTGTGGTGTTTTTGGTGACAGATTACTCTGTCTGAT